GCCTAGGCCTAGGCCTAAACCCTAAACCCTAAACCCTAAACCCTAAACCCTAAACCCTAAACCCTAAACCCTAAACCCTAAACCCTAAACCCTAAACCCTAAACCCTAAACCCTAAACCCTAAACCCTAAACCCTAAACCCTAAACCCTAAACCCTAAACCCTAAACCCTAAACCCTAAACCCTAAACCCTAAACCCTAAACCCTAAACCCTAAACCCTAAACCCTAAACCCTAAACCCTAAACCCTAAACCCTAAACCCTAAACCCTAAACCCTAAACCCTAAACCCTAAACCCTAAACCCTAAACCCTAAACCCAAAACCCTAAACCCAGAACCCTAAACCCTAAACCCTAAACCCTAAACCCTATATCCTACATCCTACACCCTACACTTTACACCCTACACCCTAAACCTAAACTTTAGCCTTAAACAACTTATTGTCCGAATATCTCATCTGTTTTTTATCAAAAACACCTATTTCTTGAACGATGGCCCCCCTGACTGCATCATGTACACATGATCTTTAAGTGAATCCAGGCAAATCATTTACTCTCAGGCTGCAAAGCGATCCGTAGGCTGGGATTTTTTCCAGACACCTTGCTTACGGATATATGGCCGATCATTTCATGCGCGTGTACCCCCAATGAATTCTGAAAAAGCCGCGTGAGTCTTCAGTATCGAACAGCGCAATTAGTCCACCTCCACCTGATCTGGCCAGTTTCATAATTACGCGCGTCAGCGTAAGTAGTGACTTTTTCATGATGACGGCATCTCGCAACCGAATGCCGTCTGTATCTGTTTGTGAAAGCCTCTCCAAATCAGTTTAATTCAAAAATTCCAAGCTAGAGACGAGCATTGCTCGATGCCCGTCTTCCTGCAAAAGTCTCCTTGGGACGTCCTTCTGCTTGCTCTTGACGACAATACGAAAGATGATGTGCGAGCGCAAACTCTTGTCATTCACGGCGGATTGGCCCACCAAAATCTTCTGATTGCACGCCTGCAGCCACATCACCATGTCTTCATAAGTCTTAACTTCATAATTTACACACAATGTGGACACTTTTCTTAAAGTATTTCCGGGGCTTTAACTTCGCGTCTTGTTCACTTGAGGCCAACAGGTCTTTGACCATTTCGGTACAAATATCTAAAACGACTGTTATCACATAATCGCGATTGCCACGCGCTTCAATAAACTGGAACATGTCTTCGGCTGCCAACTGCAAAAGTTTGGACTAATTGTATCATGATTGGGCCCGGAAGATATTCACCCGTCCCGTACATCGTGAATGCCTTCCCCTAGCTTGTATGCCCGTACGCCTTGATCGCTCCATTGATGTCTTGAAGCTTCGAATGCACAGTGCGACGTCCCGCGCGCTACATAACATCTTGATCGTCGCTGCTGACGTCAAGGACATCATCTGACTGCAACAAGTTTATTTTGCTCGAGAGCGACGCTCCTGTCTCATACTCATGAGAGAGATTGTGTTGAAAGACGGCACGAACTAGCTATCGGATACGTCACGCTAAAGCTTCTCGCGCTCGTTCATGGGCCGCATGCGGACGCACACAGCAATGTTCTCGTCTGTCACTGCAACTTCGTTGTCGGCCGTGCTCACACGCTGCACGATAGGTGACTCTTTTACGCTGTGCATTTTTTAGTGCACCCCCACAAGGGACGATCGATTGGAAATTGAATGAGTGAAGGGATAGGTACAGTGTGGTAGTGAGGTATGCAGCCACGGTTGAAAACACGTTTTGTGTAGATAAAATGCCAATTCAAATTTATTATGGTAGTGAGCTTTGATAACTCATCGTCCTATACTACCGCCGTCTGTAATGAGGGTACGTACACTTGCTTCAAGTTTGACTTGTAACTGCACGCTTTTAAAATCTGTAAAATGAATCGAAAAGAATCAAAGGGTGGACACTCTACAATTCGATCATGCTGAGTAATACGATTAAACGTTGATGACTGATCTATTTTGATCATTTGCTGCATACAAGAGATTTCGTACTTTCAAAAACGGGCAGTTATTTACTGGGAAAACACGACATTCAATGTGGTGGGGTGGGATTCGCTCATTCTATGAGGCGATCCCGACTCTCCATTGGCGCCCAGACCATTGACTAACAAATAGGTACTCCGATTCCGCTTGCGATCGTTTCCTCTTCACCTTGTACACCCGTCGGTAGGTCGAGTTGCACTCTTCTAGGTGGACTTGACTCGATGCTGAATTTGACCGTTTTAGAGATTAGTGTCGATTGGGTGGAAAATACTCACTCGATTGCGTGTTCCTGGTTGGTGCTCATCTTGAGTCGCCGCGATCAGCCTTGATCGCCTTATGCCAAAATGTGTGCTTGAATGCAATCCTGGCCAAATAACTCCAGGAGTGATCTTCCTGTCCTTGGTGTCGAAGCTCTCTGAACTTGGAAGGCCAAAATATCCAACCAGGAAGAAGAACGACACGTTTGTATTTAGAAGCAAATTGAACTATGTTCAATGTTAACTAACCAAAACCCGAAACTATGACCATGTCTACTCCGTATGTCAGGATTGACCGCTACGTGTCTACTCCATGCCGAACGGATTTGCATTCCTTCTATATCACGTGGCCCACGCCAGATCGCGGTCCCTTGATCGCAGTCCCCTGATCGCGATCTCTTGTTTGTGGTCCCATCTTATTTTTTACAGGTTGGTCTCGTGCGGAATTAAATGGGGTTGATTCTGTTAAGTCCTCCCAAAGGTATCATCCAAATAACAGGCTATCATTCCACGAGCGATTCAGCCTATACCACCTCGTACTTAGCCGAATCACCTAGGCTTTTGGACCCGATCTCGATCGGCTTTATTTACAATAGCTTCCTGCACAAACATATGATTCACAACATCCGGCTGGCTTGTGCACGTGTTCAGTCGTCATTATCTGTTTTATAGTTAACCATGGCGTCCACGTCGTCCAAATCGTCCACGCCCCGTCGTGCCTCGACTGACGTGTCTTGCGCTGATGACTTGTTACCTTACCCGATTGGCTCCACATTAACATCCGTCAATACATCGCCTGGTACTTCTAGTGATACTAATGTGGGTGTATCCTCAGTGCCATCCTTGCAACCTCTGCTGACGATCGGCCACATGGACTTCAGCCCCACCGGAGCGATTTTTTAATGAAAAATTGTTACGTAGCAAAAAAAACAAAAAAGGACATTTGGTGGTTTTTAAACTTTTATTATACATTACTTAATTTTCTACCAAAAATTTAACATAATCCAAAATTAAAAAAACAACCTTTTTTACGACGAAAAAAAATAATTCGGAGAAAATTAATTTACAATTACTATAAAAAATTTGCTTGGACGCATTTAAATGCAATAATTAGATTCTACGGTATTTTAAATTTCAATCGAAGAAAATCGTGAGCTATAAAAATTAGCTCTCAAATTACCCGTAATGAACCTAAAAACAACCACGTAAACCGAACTATTGTTTAAATAAATAAAATTGCCGCTGATCGTTGATCGAGCGGCTGCGATCGAGGTGCTCGCTGGTCTTTATCAGCGGATCGCGTCTCATCAAGACTGCGTCGATCGCTAATGCAATCTGGAGAAAGCTTTGATGAAACAGACCCGTCGAGGTTATCGGCTAGAGCAAGAGATCCGTTCCTTTGCTTAGTCGGCCTCTACGTTTGAAACTTTCGATCAAGTCCGGTACGATCGTCTTCACTTGGACCTCGAAGATGCGCCTGTTGAGGCCTCTTTACTTTGGGAGGAAGTCTACGCGGGTCAGTGTCAAGAGCAGCAGATTAACGACTTAAAGTCTTTATAAGGGACTCGAACGCAATATGCTTCACAGGAACATCACGATCGGGAGTTGGCAGCCTTTCAACAGCACATGGATGAGGGAAATGCCCGAATGCATGCTGCACTCACCCAAAAGACCGCGAGAATTCAGAAGGTCCAATCGAAAATGGACCGACACAAGGCTGGCTAATTTTCAATTCCAGACCACGGTTTGCCGTCTGCGCGATGCTCTAGTGGCACTGGTGGTAGAGCGCGATCAGGGTCGGGACGATCCTGCTGAGCTCGAAGTCGACCGCTATTGGTCACGCTCTTTTTTCGCCGATCGGAACGATCAAGTGGATCGGCTCCAGACTGAAATCACGAATCTAGGGTCAGAGCTCGATCTAGCATTGCTCGATCGGGATGCTCTTCGGGCGAGTATCGCCTCATTCTCTACCAGCGTATCGGTCTCCCTTTCTTCCCATTTTGTCGTGGAGGCCCCATCCCGTTCTGATCCATCATGCGTAAAAGGATCAGCGAAGTCCATGGTCACCCGTGGCAAACGTCCCGGATCGTTCGATCCAGTTCTTCCTCCGCGGACCAAAAGGGCCAAGAAAGGGCTTCCTCTGCTCCTAGGACCTTCCCGCAGTCGTCAGTCTAGGTGACATCAATACTTTCGGCTTGGCATGTGGCCGGCGTCTCCACTACGCCTCCTTCACCAGGTAAAATACTGAAGGACAGCATACCTGTCCCTCCCGCCGTCCCAAGCGAACCGCATAAAAGCAATAGCCCCAAAATTTTCACTACCTCGAAAGTAGCGCCCCTACTTATGTGATGGAGTGGCCGCTCATTTCCTGAGACGATCCCGACTTTCCACTGGCGCCCGGGCGACCGACAAACGGAGGGGGTACCTCGTTCCGTGTCCTGTATGTTCTTGCTCACCTTGCGTACCCGTCGGTGGGGCGGTTTGCGCTCTCTTTTGTGGACTTGGGCTGAATATGAGCTTGACCGTCGTAGGGATAGGTGTTGATCGGGTGGAAATACTTCACCCGGTCAACGTAGGTGCGAGTCGCGTGGAAATTCTTCACTTGATCGCTTGTAGCATGGGCGCTCTCCCAGAGTCGCCTTTGTCAGGGGTGATGCTTGATTCGCGAGCCTTCTGATCACTTGAGCCGTCTCGCGATCTTGAATAAGAACCGTGAGTTTTACTGCGTCCTATCGCAGTTGAGGGGGGGGCGTGAGAATAGACCTTCCGCCTGGCCAAACAATCCAAGGACGAAGTTCACTTGAGACGTGGGTGACTCTCTATTCAACGGGAGGCTAAAGATCCTGCCCGGGAGAAGTCGACGTGTGCTTTCGTAGCAAATTCAATTCTTTTCAATGTCAACCAACTGAACCTAAAACTCATGACTATGCCTATTTGTTCGCTAGTTTGGCTGTCTATGTCATTCGCATCTTACATCCTGTGGTCCACAGCAGATAATCCGTAGTGGATCGTCCCATACCGGACCGTGAAGTACCGGATTGCGGAAACTGCGCGGAGTACCGGATCGCGGAGTTCCGGATTGCGGAGTATTGGATCGCGGAGCACCGGATCGCGGTATGCGATCCACGGCGAGTACGTCGTCTATCTCGACCATTATGACACACTCCGCTTGACCTTTACCCCTTCATGACCGTTAAGTGGATTACTCTACATAATTTCCACAGTCACTTCCTGTCACTCAGTCGTGTGACACCGTCATCCGTGTCAACGGGCCCATCTCCGTAAGCGCTCCACCTATCAAGTTGATTTTTGTACTTCAGGCGGATCGCGCAATCCACACTTCCGTCATTCTTCCTTCGTGCTTCTCCAAAATCGTCCCCTGCACCGACGCTAGATATACAGTGTTGATGGACGGTACACCCACAACGCCAATGGCTCCTGCATCACCTGCACCTTGAACATTGGAGGCCGATAGCCCGATTTCGCCTTCTACCCCGCCGCCGGGTCCACCCGTTAGTAGGCCAGTTGTGTTTCCGTCGTCTCGGGTGAGCGCTGCATCCTTGTCAAATTGTGATACTTGGACTGCGGGGACCGCATCTCTCTACGTTCAACATGGATCCTCATGCCGCGGTTGTTGCCGACAAACACTCGTTGGAGGAGGTATGTTGGGAACAGAAACTGCAGATAGACCGACTGCAAACGCAGTTGCAATCATACGTCGAGATCGCCCCGCGCTTGGCGACCTATGTCCAACATCGTTATCTCGGCCTCTGGATGGATTGCCAAGACATGATCGAGAGTTGCACGGGTTCCAGACGGAGCTGGCACGATGCTTGGGTCAACATCATGTGGTCCGAGAATTCAAGACGGCTTTTTAAGAAGCCGAAAAGAAGTTTAAACAGTCGAGGATCTGCGCTTTCGTGAATTGTCCACCACCCAACATCAAGTGGAAGCGATGACTTCGCGCCTGGCTGCTGCGGAACAGAATTCGGGCGAAGATCTCCAAGCTGCAACATCCAAGACTTCCAAGTACAAGAAACTTTTCCACAGAGTTGACAAGAAGCTTGACACGACCAGACTGGTATTGGAAAACATGTCATAGACCCATCAAGACTACCTCTGCGAACAAGAGCTCGTCGAGGCGGAGCTGCAACGGCCACGATCAGACCTCGCGGATCGGAACGCCCAGGTGGATCGTCTGCAAAATCAAGCATTGAATTGGGAACAGCAGTGTCTCTCGGCCGTTCGCGATCGCGACACGATCCGGACTCATCTGGCTCAATTGGCTTCTGGATCACTCCGCCTTCCCCCAATGGTACAGTCTACGGCCTCCGCTACCGTACCAACCGGCAATCGATCTAGGTCCACGGATCCCGGTCTCCCGATCAAGCGTCCCCGCACAGCGAAGCGGACGCAAGCTGGAACGGAGTCGGTGGATACCTCTAAGGCCAAGTCAGCCAATGAGTCTCCGCGATCTGCTGAACCAGTGCTATCTGCCAAATCTTCCGGATCTGATGGAATAACACGCGTCTCTATGCGACCCTCCAGATCAATTGGCTCAAACGGGTTCACAGCTACATCAGGATCAGCACGGACTCCAACAACTAAAGGCACCGCGGGTAGAAAACGATCCACCTCCCAAACAGGAAATAAACGGGTCCAGAAGCTTCCAGCCGGCGCTCCATAGCTCTTCGATACAAAGCCATTCGAATATTCTGAAGAGGATATTCTGGCCGCCTTGTCTGGATCGCGCTCCTCGTTGCGGCGCCGTGGATCATCGAGCAATGTTCCACCTTCTACCGGATCGATACCTGCCATAATTCCATTGACCCCCCCCAAGTCTAAATCGTCTTCACTTCCGAGTGAATCAGCACCACCTGCCAAGCCCCGAGTCTTGAAGGTGGATATCGTTTGTGAAGCATCAAGCAAATCCGACGGATCGGTCAGCATGACCGGCAGTCCGCAGGACGCCAAGAATGCCGTGCTTCCGCCCGCAGAACCCTACCGTTTGGCTTCGACCCGGGTACCTCGCGCTGAATGGTCACCCGGATATCGCGATCGAATACCCTGGTCTCACCTCCACGTACACCCGTGGTCGGCTCGTCGTCTCAGCCCGACCTCCGTGGCGGAGCTGGACTTGAAAATTGCTCAGACACCTAACACGGCCGGCAGGGTATATCTTCCCAGCACCCACCGCGCCTCAATTTAAAGCTGCTCCGCCTGAATCTGCGTGGATTCAACGGCTAATAACTTTGTCTCAAGTGTTAGCGTTGTACCAGCAAGAGCCTTGGAATCAATACCATAGCCAAGTCACACCAGTCACGTTTCACGCGACTGGCTAGTTTGCAGAGTTGGCATCCGCGTACCGAGACTTCGAGATCCGGTATCTACAGGTTCCGTGGGAAGCAAACCTTGCCATTTATTTGCCGGCTGAGCAGCGCTATCGCGATCCGGAGTTGGCGCGTATTTTCCAGCAGCGCAAACAGCAGCGATCGCGATGCGGATCCGCTGGAAAACCGTATTTCGCTTTATCCTTCAGGGGATCATCGACGGACACTGATGTTTGAATTTGTTCTTGGATCCGTTCTTCATGCATCTACCATCACCGGTCGAGATGCGTCCATGGTACCCGGGTTAGGGCGATCCTCAGAAAACATTCCTAACCTGATCTCCGCGTTGGCGCGTTTGGTTACAGCTGAACCCTGGCGCAATCGGTTTCGATCCTGCATCGAGGGTCATCCCGGGTCGTCGATCGCTCGCTTTTCGGGTAATCATTTTTTGAAGTAGTCCATAGCAATCCGACAGTTTGTTTTAATCGGTCAAAAAATGTCCATCTTTTTCTTCCTTGTTGATCATCACTTAACTTCATCTCATTTGCCTTTTCTAATTATTCACTGCGATCGGGTTTGATTCCCTGGATCGCCACACACAAACTCTCCCTTTGTTAATTTTCTGCAACCTTCTTGCTGGCCACTCCCGATTTGACACATCGGTTATTCATCCACCGCTGCTTCGTAAGAATTGCATTACCTCGAAGCGCTTCTTGCTGACTCGATCACGATCGAACTCTTGCAGCAAGGCCTCACAGTTTGAGTCGACCTCATCTACCCAAGTCGAATTGTCCGATCCCTTCCATTACACCAAATAATGACCCTGCGCTCTGCCAGAACGGGTCCGTCTGAGCGATCGCACATCCAATATCTTCTCGACTTCAAATTCATCTTCATCTAATGTGCGTTCCCAGCTATCTTCCGGCAGCAGGGATTCGTCAAAATATACGCGATCTGCCTCTTCAACGTTCAACAAGTCTTTTGGCCGATCTGGAAAGGTTTTCATCCACTTAAGCTTGGATATATGCACCAACGGGAATAATCATTACGGTGTATCCGAGATCTCCAACTGTTCTGCGTGTCTACCGCAAAGTTCCCCATTTCGGGATGGTCCATGCCACATATGTGCTAGCTTTCGGGCGTATCCTTCTCTCACTCGTTCCAAATAGAGCCACACTTTCGATCCAACTTCGATCTCATGTGATCCGTCCTCAGCGTTGCGTCGATCGGCCCGATCTTGGATTGCAATCCGTAGACGATCATTAAAGGCTTCTTTTTTACTCTGGTAATGACGTTGCATATTTACGCCATCTCCTTGGATCTTGGTTTCATCGTTTGGTGCTTCTCAAAGAAAAAGTCGCTTCCAGCGTCGATCGTGGGTCCCAACCGTGGATCAAGTAATATGGAGTATCTCCTCGTATGCGATCTGTGCCGCTGAGATGGCGAACGTCAACCTCTCAGCGTACTCGTACCAATCCTTCTGATCTGTGTCTGTAACTTACATCTTCAACGCCCTCGTCATTGTCTGCATCATCGTTTCTGCTGTTCCATTCTCCTGGGTCGGTATGCCATAGTAGCACGCTGTTTTTGCCCCGAGATTCAATTGAACGCTCAAGAAAAGGATCTAATTCCGGGCTCTCGATCATGACGGATCGCTTCACTGGCTCCAAATCTTCGAAACACACACTCTTCGTAACTTTCGGCGATCGTTTGAGCAGTTCTGGAGGAACTCGCCTTGGCGATTCCGTACCCTTAGAACAGATCCACCCACAACAACAACTCAGTGTTTCCCTTGAAATATCGCGGCAACGAAGGAATTTTATCCATAACGATTATCTGAAACGGATAGGTGGCTCGGACATTCCCCAACGATTTACCGCGCAGGACAGGTTTACCTTTTTCCGTCGTGCAATCCACACATCCTCCTACATAACGCTGAACACCCCGACAGAGTCCTGTCCAGTGGAACTTGGACCGGATTCGTTGGTATGTTCTGCCGATACCTTGGTGTCCGCCCTCCAAACTTGCATGATAATGATGCAGAAAATCCTGATGCAGTAGTTCCGGTACCACCAAACAAATCAATTCCACGCCGGCTATCTGGATCTTCCGTTGATTGCGGGCAGAAAAACAGTAGTCCGCTTTTGTCAACTTTATAATAGAGCGCGATCCAAGCACATAAATTTTTTTCTTCAATACTCGACTTCGTTATGTCTCCGATCAGGAATTCCTTCAGGTTTGCGATCCAACTCTCTTCTTCCTGTGCTTGCTTGATCTGCTAGATTATGATCCTTTGAACGACTTCCTCTTGCGTTACTTCAGAAAATCGTTGTCTTCTTACGGTTGATCTAGTAACGGCAGATATTTTTACGACCCGATCGACACTTTTGGGTGTCAAAAACTCGTCCAACCGGTTCAATGAATGTAAATTTTGACGATCTTGATCGGATACAGTCATCGTTTCTTTCTCTTGTTGTAAAGCGTTGCTTGCCAGTCGATCAACACTATAATTCCAGTCCCTCTTCATGTGTAAAAATTCATGGATCGACCACGATCGGAGTTTTCCCATAGCTTTGTGACGTAGCAGCTGTAATCCGGGCGCCTTGCAGTTATTAGCTCCGCGCATCTGCCGGATCACTAAGTTAGAATTGCCGCAAATGATTATGCGCCCCCGATCCTGATCGGGTGGGATATCGAAACCTAGTAGCAGGCCACGATATTCGGCTTCGTTTACTGTCAAGTCTGTTGCGTATTCGGCTGCGACATTCACGATCTTTCATTCTAAGAGTTTCCACACTATTGCACTGTACGCCCCGCCTTTTCGTTTGGTTCGGGCCGATCCATCGAAACTGACCACCAAAAGTCTTTCACTCTCCTCCTCCGTTAATGGTGGCATACTTATGGCATGTTTCGGCTGTTTCCTTGGGGCGATCGCGATCAACATCTCGTCAACACCTTCGCGCGGGGTAATGCTGGTGTCAAGCGTGCCAAGTATTTCATCTTCTCCCTTTTCATACTTCTTGGTCTCCAGCGTCCAATCTGATAGCATCGCCGCCCATCTCCCCAGCCTTCCTTATAAGCCTAAAGATTGTACTAGCCAGGCCAACGTTGAATGATGTGTGAGTACCTTGATCTCTCGTGCAACCATCATCGTGTAGCCGATGTCTAGGATGCGCAGCAGAGCTAATACTTCTTTCTCCACCATTCTATAGTTTATCTCGTTAAATTTTAGCGATCTGCTAGTGAACTTTACAGGTCAGTAAACTCCATCGTGTTCCTGTAGCAAAGCTGCATATACTGCTCATTTGCTAGCACAGACCGTGATCACTGGAGGGCGATAAGAATTGGAGTCTAAGCAATCTTATCGTTCCACATAGTGAGCGACATCATCGCCTTCTCCCATCGAATTCTGTCTGTGCAAGTGGGATCGTCCCCAGCAACACCAGAAAAGTTGGATCGCCCCATGTAACACTGTTACGGGTTGGATCGTGATCACCAAGATACTTCCTGTCGTCAGCTCTCTTTCCATTCCGTGTTGACGATGCCGCCTCATCCATACGTCGGATCTTGTGGAATTCGGCTTCGCGTAATTCGTATAGCACGGATGCATGTATCGCAAAGTCTTTAATGAATCGGCTAAAGTAATTAAAACTCCCTAAAAACGACTGCATCGACCGCAGCGTTCGAGGAAACGTAATGTTCACCAGCAACATGAGATCCTTCTGGTGGGATTCCAATTTAGCAAGTGATACTTGATGACCGAGATAGTCCACCCTGGGTCGTCCCCAAAAACGTTTGGTCATGCTGATCGACAAAATCCACTTATCGCATGCACGTAGCAATCTACCCACTCTCTCGTACAAATCAGTCCACGATGTAGCTGGAATCCGAATGTCATCGATGTACGATCTTCGACCTAGCACAGATAGTGTCCGACTGATGTTCGGCTCTCCTTCTGTGAAAACGTCGATCTGTTTGGATGATTCCTTAGAGGAGGCGCCCGGATTAGCATCGATCTTCATACATCCATAAAATGCATGGTCGATCAGGCGTTAGTAAATCTGTGGAGCGTTTTTCAACCCAAGCGGCATCCGTAGCCATTCATACAAGCCTGACGGCGTAATGAGTGCTGAAATCCTTCTTTCTCGTTCTGTCATCTCCACCACCCAAAATTCGCTTGCCATGTCCAGTGAGCAGTACCACATCGCTTTGTCCATTTCTTGTAAAGGTTCATTGATCAGTGGCATTGGGTACACCATCAGCCTTGTAAACTGATTTACCCGTCGATAGTCGATGCACGATAGAATATCCTCGCCATTTCTTTTCGATGATAACGACGATCGGCGAGGCCCAAGGTGATGTGGAAGGTCGAATAATCTTGGCCGAGAGCAGTCCTTTAATCAAATCCGCTAATTATTTGCGAAACTTGGGTGCTACTGGCCGCACTCTTTGCGCGAACGGGCTTGCTCCTCCCACGTCAATATAGCATATCGCCCCTCGTGCGGCTGGAAGGAGTGCACTTCCTTTTTCAATAAGAAGGTGCTTGTTTCTCCAGATTAGTTGTCGAAATCGTCCTCGGTCATCAGTCAGCGGTACATCTGGATCGCCTACCTGAATATCGTCGATCGCCACTTCGGCAGTGGGCGTAACAATATCGAATATTACCGCCATGTGATGATCCACATCCTCAGCGTACAACTCCCCACTTTCATGACTACAGGTAGCGACGTCCAATTCCCTCGCGATCCGGTCATTACTCGGATCAGGCTCATTGTCGATCGTAACACCTCGTGAAGATCCGGCCTCTTTCATCGGTTGATCCCCTGCTCCTTCGTTCGTCGTAAGCTCGTGAATCGCATGAACCACGGGCCTGACACTTGTCAATCGGTAATCCACTTGTCTATCGTCGATCGTGTCATGCGATACGTCGTGCGGTCTGTCGGAATCCCTGTTCTTTTTTTGTCGCGACATCTTCCATTGGCCTCTCGGGTGTTCGAACGCTTCCGCCCTTCTCCTCGATCGGGTAAAGACACGTGGCAACGTGGGTCCACACTTGGAATCACTTTCTCGTCTACGATCGGGCTGTCCTTTGATACATTGTTCCCCGTAGGCCGACTTAAAACTTTCTTTGGCGTAGGGTAGGTCGGGTGATCCACAAGCGGTACCGCGTATGCGGTCGGCACTTCTTCCTCTCTTTCAGTCGTAGCTTCAAAGGCTAGTGTCTGACACTCGTTGTACCGTCGCGATCCAAACGAGACATAGCCTGGGTATCGATAAACCATGTTGGCAGCCATAATCCAGCCTAAAGCCGGTCCGTGGCCGATAATTGTTTCTTTGTCGCCGAGGTTTGTCAGCTACAAATACTTGGTCCGCCCTATTCCAGTGGTTACGGTGGGTACCCATTTAGTATCGAGCCTCACCCATAGTTTGGTGTTAGACTGGACGTTGCCGATCCTTATCTCCGCCGATCTACCGACCGGCAGCACTAAGTGCTGTTCTGGGGTCACGATCGGCTACATGGGTGATCCGTACAGATTTCTGCGTCCTGCTAGATGAATCCTTACTTCATCTGGCAATACCAGCGTCCCGTCAGCTAGATACAGACGTATACCTGTGGGCATCATGAATTACATACCCAGGATAACCTCTTGACCGACTTGATCACCCACCCACACGTCAAAATAGTATACCAGCAATCCATTTAGGGTGATCTTGATCTTGGTAAGTCCTTCAGTCATGTTCGTGTTTTCACCTATCCCCACGCACTCTTGTTTCTGAAACTCTTTAACGACACATCCTACCTTGCGAACAAAGGCGGTGTCCACGATAGAGATTTCAGCTCCAGAGTACAATAGCATCGTGGCCTTTTCGTTGTTAACCTTCCCAGCCACTTTAGCTTGCTTAAACAATTTTTCTGGTGTATGGTATTTACAGTATCGCCTTGACTCTCCCGGCGCTAGGACAAGTTCCACCTTGGTGGGCGATCGGGCGTACTCATCATGTCCTCTATCACATGAAATGGAACGCAGACAGTTTAAAAAATCACATGTATTTTGCCAATCACCCTGCTTGTCCTTGCTTCCGTCTACCCCCTTCCTCTGCTCATATGCATATACGCAGAGCCTGGAACGCTCGGCTCGTATCAGATTCCAACCTGGCGAGCGTCCTGATTTAGCATCTTCTCGACTTGTTCCGGCAACATCCCTGCATGCTTGGTGGGCACATACCACTGACGGATCATGTTGTAAAATCGTTCCATCGGGCACTTTCTTTCCTCGTGGACTTCCTTGCATACGTAACACACGTAGTAGCATTTTTCTGCAGGATGCCCCTTACGTCCGCACTTCTGACACGTAAGTCTTTTCCAACATCCGCTATCGTCATTTTTCTTCGACCCACAGAGCGTACACACTGTTTGAGGCCTTCCACGATCGTAGTGGCAATCGTGACCGACTTGCTCACTTCAAATGGGTCTATCGGGTTCAGAGCGCGATCCGCAGCAGTAGCTGTGTACACGTTGTGCCAATTCGGCTTCTGAGCGTAATCCGTAGCCGTGGCCATATACCCGTTGCGTCGATCCGAGTCGGAGTCCGATCCACAAGAGTCTCTGTCGGACCCACTACTCTCGTTATCCACATAGATTGCTCTCACAGATCGCGCTGTTTTTGCTGGAACTTGGGCATCCTGTGGAGCAATACGCTGTCGAAATTTGCTCGACCCCATAGAGGCATGGGCTTCTCGAAATTCCGTGTTTCACATATTTGCAGCGTTTCTTCCAGATCACCTGCATCTCCAAGAAGTAGCATCGTTAGCATTTTAGCCGGATCGTGATCATCCAGAGTACCAATGTAATGATTTACATGTTCCTTGCGAGTGGCGGGCGATCCATTTCGTATCGGAATCTTCGCCCGAATCGCGGCCACGTTCAGACAGTACAAGTACTCCAATGGAGTCTCGTTCGATCGCTTGCGCGCATGGTAATAGAGTCCCCCAACTGAAAACTATTGTTCCCTACGTATTTTACCATGAAGCCTTCTAGGAGTGCCTTCCACGAAGTCCTCGTTAAGCGGCTAAGCTGGTTATACCAGTCATGCGCCGGTCCCGTAAGAAGATCGCTGAACACTAAGCACTTCTCCACTTCTGGCGCTCGATCGAGTAGGAACGCCAACTTCACCTTAAAGATCCAGTTCGGCTCGTTCTTCATTATTCTCTCGGCCGGAGAAATCTTTCAGTTTGGCCATGCCAGTCATTCGAATCCTTTGGTTACCGAATCCGCCACTCTCTGCCGCTCCTGCCGTTGCCACATGCGGTATTCTCTTGTCTCCTCGCTTCCGATGATCATGACCATAGTCAAGCGATCCGTTAGGACGCAATCCAACCGAATCCATTTCAATGTCCGACATGTGGATCTCCGGTTCGGGATGGCGATTAATGATTGTTCAGCGTTCCTGTAAGCTTGTTCTAGCTCGTATTTCTTCATGACTGCTTAAAAATAAGAATTCACTTGTTATGACTCCACCATGTTCATAAACTGCGTTGCCGATGGCTTTCCCGCTTGCGCTTCTGCCGCAATCCGTTCAGATTTCTTCCGCAACAGATCTGCGCCCTTTGGTCCTAGCGACATCCGTTAGATCTCGAACGAATTGTTCGAGTTCTCTTCCGATTCCGCTAAAGCGTATCGAGACGATCCAGTGTGTTCACCCTTGTGAGAATCGTTTATCGGCGTGGGAACTTGATCCATCGTAATCCGCGGCGTGATCCGTTGATCCGAGGTGCAGATCGGCGGGGTCGGGTTGTCTCCGGGGTCACGTATTCCTAGAAGCGGACTCAACATTTTAAACAGCGACTGTCCGGTAGCGATCACTCGATCGTGGTTGCTTTCTATCAGAGTTTGTGCGTAGAACGTTCCCGCCGTAAACCCCGCCTCCGTTAGCAGATTGATTAGACGCCGGAGCGCCTCCAACACGTTAGAGGTTGGCTTAGGCACTGTTATCGGTCCGCGTAGAGATCCGGTCAGCTTCGGCTTGATCGTCTTGAGTACTGGATCGCTCGACAGCAGCTTCTTCAGCTTCTTCAGCTTCTTCAGGTGGTACTCCCTGCTGAGATCGTCGAATTGCCAATGTTCAAACTTTACTTAGCGATCCACTGACTTTGAGCCTTGATCTATCGTCTCCCTCTTTACCTGGCATCAAGATGTCTTGTTCTTGTAAACATCTTGATCTTGTTTTGCCTCCGCCAGCTTCTTTAAGTGTTCTGAACATCTTGTTTCTCTCTTCATTATCTCTGATGGTTCATCTAGTATAAATGAAAATCGTTTGGGAATTTCACTTTAGGACTTTCATCTTGCGGCTCGCGCTTTTCAGTGCGATCCGCGGTGGCCTCCGAAGGGGCTTCAAAAAGGAGTTGGGGGTTTTCTTCCAGATCGTGAAATCGTTATTCTTCTTTATTTTTCTCGTCATTAAGGCCCTTCCAAAACTTTGACGATATGGAGATCCTTCATCTCCGTGCGTCTGCGACGATCTCTCTTTCGCTGACGCTTTTATCCCAGTTTCAGCCTTAATTTTCACTTCCTTGCTCAGGGACTCACGGTGAAATCCCGAGTCACTACAATATCCGGGCACGCGCATTATTGTGATGGAGTGGCGATCGCTTATTTCATGAAACGATCCCGACTCTCCACTGGCGCCCGGACGACCGACAAACGGGGGGGTACCCCGATTCCATGTTTTGTTTGTTCTTTCTAACCTCGTGTACCCGTCGGTGGAGCGGGTTGCGCTCTTCTTGGTGGACTTGGGCTGAAGATGAGCTTGACCGTCTTAGGGATAGGTGTTGATCGGGTGGAAATACTTCAGCCGGTCAACGTAGGTGCGAGTCGCGTGGAAATTCTTCACTTGATCGCTTGTAGCATGGGCGCTCTCCCAGAGTCTCCTTTGTCAGGGGTGATGCTTGAATCGCGAGCATTCTGATCACTTGAGCCGTCTCGCGATCTTGAATCTGAACCGTGAGTTTTACTGCGTCCTATCGCAGTTGAGGGGGGGGTGAGAATTGACCTTCCGCCTGGCCAAACAATCCAAGGACGAAGTTCACTTGAGACGTGGGTGACTCTCTATTCAACGGGAGGCTAAAGATCCTGCCCGGGAGAAGTCGACGTGTGCTTTCGTAGCAAATTCAATTCTTTTCAATGTCAACCAACTGAACCTAAAACTCATGACTATGCCTATCTGTTCGCTAGGTCGGCTGTCTATGTCATTCACCTCTTACATCCTGTGGTCCACAGCAGATAATCCGTAGTGGATCGTCCCATACCGGACCGTGAAGTACCGGATTGCGGAAACTGCGCGGAGTACCGGATTGCGGAGTATTGGATCGCGGAGCACCGGATCGCGGTATGCGATCCACGGCGAGTACGTCGTCTATCTCGACCATTATGACACACTCCGCTTGACCTTTACCCCTTCATGACCGTTAAGTGGATTACTCTACATAATTTCCACAGTCACTTCCTGTCACTCCGCCGTGTGACACCATCATCCGTGCCAACGAGCCCATCTCCGAACGCGCTCCACCAGTCAAACTGATTTTCGTACCTAAAGCGGATCGCGCGATTCACACTTAAGTCATTCTTCCTTCGCGCTTCTCCACACGCGCACTATTGTGATGGAGTGGCGATCGCTTATTTCATGAAACGATCCCGACTCTCCACTGGCGCCCGGACGACCGACAAACGGGGGGGTACCCCGATTACATGTTTTGTTTGTTCTTTCTAACCTCGTGTACCCGTCGGTGGAGCGGGTTGCGCTCTTCTTGGTGGACTTGAGCTGAAGATGAGCTTGACCGTCTTAGGGATAGGTGTTGATCGGGTGGAAATACTTCAGCCGGTCAACATAGGTGCGAGTCGCGTGGAAATTCTTCACTTGATCGCTTGTAGCATGGGTGCTCTCCCAGAGTCGCCTTTGCCAGGGGTGATGCTTGAATCGCGAGCCTTCTGACCACTTGAGCCGTCTCGCGATCTTTTGCCTTGACTTTACGTATCTTGCTGCGTCCGATCGCAGTTGTGGTTACCTAAGAATTCTTTAACGCACCTGGCCAAACAACTCCAGGAGTGATCTTCCTGCCCTTGGTGTCGAAGTTCTCTGACGTCAAGAGGTCAAATCATCCAACTCGGAAGTAGAACGACACGTATGTGTTCAGAAGCAATTTGAAGTATGTTCAATGTTAACTAACCAAAACCCAAAACTGTAACCACGCCTACTCCGTATGTCAGGATTGATCGCCATGTGTCTTCATCATGCCGAATGGATCTGCGATCCGTCTACATCACGTAGCATACATCAGATCACGGCCCCCTAATCGCGGCCCCTTTACCGAGATCCCTTGATCACGAGCCCTTTATCACGGTCTCTTGATCACGGCCCCATGATTTGGGTTCCTTAATATTCCTTCAGTTTGGTACCGTACGGACTAGATGGTGATGATTTCATTAGAACCTCCCAAAGATTCTATCCAAATAGCTGGCTATCATCCCACAAGCGATTCAGCTAATACCACCTCGTACTTTGCTAAATCGCCTAGACTTTTGAGCCCGATCTCGATCGGCTCTACCACAATTGCTCCCTGCACAAATAGACGATCCACAACATCCGGCTGGCTTGTGCACGTGTTCCGTCGTCATTATCTGCTTTATAGTTAACCATGGCGTCCACGTCGTCCACAGTGTCCACGCCCCGTCATGCCTCACCCGACATGCCTTCCGCTAGTGACGCATTACCGTACCTAATTAACTCCACATTGGCATCCATTATACACCGCCTGGCACTTCGAGAAATGCCTCTGCGGGTAGTCTTTAGTGACATTCTTGCAACCTGTGACGACGATTGGAAACATAGGCTCCAGCCCCAAAGGAGAGATTACACTGCCGACCGCTCAAGTTGAATCGCCGCCGATAGCTGATCAAGCGGCTGCGTTCGAGACGCTCGCTGGTCTTTATCAGCTCATCTCTTGTAAGCAAGACTGCGTCGATCGCTACGGTGATCTTGAGCAAGCGATAAGGAGACAGACCCGTCGAGGAGATCGGCTAGAGCAAGAGTTCCGTTCCCTTGCTGAGTCGGCCTCTCCGTTTGTGACTTTCGTTGAAGTCTGCTATGATCGTCTTCGCTTGGACCTCGAATTGTGCGCACGGAGGCCGCCTTACTTCGGGAGGAAGTCTACGCGGGTCAGTGTCAGGAGTAGCAAATTAGCGACTCGAAGTCGAAGATTTTGTAGGCGACTCGATCGCTTCATGCTATACAGGAACGTCACGATCGGGAGTTGGCAGCCTTGCAACAGCACATGGATGAGGGAAATGCCCGAATGCATGCTGCAATTACCCAAGAAACCTTAAGACTTTAGAAGGTCCAGTCGAAGAAATCCCGATACAAGGCTGGCTTTTCTCAGGAACAGACCAAGGTTGGTCGTATGCGCGATGCTCTTGCGGCACTGGTGGTAGAGAGCGATCAGCGTCGGGACGATCCTGCTGAGCTCGAAGTCGACCGCGATCGGTTACGCTATTTTCTCGCCGATCGGGAAGATCAAGTGTGTCGGCTCCAGAATAAGATCTCGAATCTAGAGTCAGAGCGTGATCTAGCCTTGCGCGATCGGGATGCTCTTCGGGCGAGTATCGCCTTATTCTCTACCAGTGTATCGGTCTCCCTTTCTTCCCATTTTGTCGTGGAGGCCCTATCCCGTTCTGATCCATCATGCGTAAATGGATCAGCGAAGTCCATGGACACCCGTGGCAAACATCTCAGATCTTTTGCTCCAGTTATTTCTCCGCCGAACAAAAAGGCCAAGACAAGGGCTTCCTCTACTCCCCGGATCTCCCCGCATTTGTCAGTCAAGGCGACATCAATAACTTCGGCTTCGTCTGTGCCCGAAGTCGACACCACTTCTTCTTCCCCGGGCAGGAATCTGAAGGACAGCATTCCCCGTCTCTCCCGCCGTTCCAAACGATCCACGGCAAAGCCAACACCCCATCCACCCGTTTCGTCCGGGTCAGTGGCCGTTAGGGGAAAGGTGTATTGTGCGTCTTAGCACCTGCCGCGCTCCGCTCGGATGCTGATGAGTCATCAGATGTAGAGTCCCAAACTTTAGCTGCACTCTCCTGATCGCGCTCTTCTTCCCGGCGTATGACTTCGACCTCCACTTCACTTGAATTGATCGTTGTGGACACCCCTTTCTCTCCATTGGGTTCTCCTGCTTGCCCGATCGCTGCTTCTCCTACGTCCACAACCAAGATTTCAAGTTCAACTTGTTTGGCGAAGCCTCTACCAGTTCGGATGGCGCGATCAATGTTGCGGAAGAATCCCGAGCTCCCGTCAACACGCTGTTGTCTTCAGCCGAGTACGCTGCCCTTCTTCAGACCAAGGTGTCCCAAGATCAATCGATACATGGGTATCGTTGGCGCGTTCCGAGACCTTCTGTTCAAGTTTCACCTTGGTCTTCACTTCAAGTGGGCTAAATCAGCATATCTGAACTGGACTTGGCGTTTTTCTGTCGCCATCTTTCCAGGCCGAAACTCTGCCCCTTCCAGTTCCTCCCAGTACGTCATCAAAGCCTCCTGCGTCAGAGTGGTCTTCTCACCTGGCTTCTTCAGCGCAGATCGCCACGCTTTACCGCCAAGAGCCTTAGAAGTGTCTGGAGGTAAAGATAGCGCCAGTTTCCTTCCCTCCTACCGGGTGATTCGAACGATTGCTGGATCTGTACCACTCATTTGAGGATCGACATATCCAGACTATGTAGGAGTCGACCCACACTTTGCCGATTTACTCCGCCAATCGGGTTAGTGATCCTGTGTTGACGTTGTACTGTGATCAGCGCAAGCCATGGCGCTCACTATCTGGACCCCGCTGGAAAACCGTTCTGCGATTCATACTCCAGGGTATGGTGGAAGGACATTGTCGCTTGGAAATTCTGCTAGACCCATTTTCTCGCATCTGCCTCGTTGACTGAGAAGCAGTTCCGGTACCCTGGTTTGGGGACTCGGAAAACCGATATCTTTATCTGGCTTCCGCTTTATTACTGAGGATATCTGCTTAGCCGTGACGTAATCAGTACCAAGCTGTGATCGCAGATCATACAGGCACGCCGATCCCTTGCGTAGCCTGCAAGTTCTTCGTTCTGGAGTCGATTTGGTTCAATGCAATTTCAAGTTCTATTTCCATTTCATTGTGCGGTTT